TTTTTTTTTTGTATCAGGGATCAAACTCAGGACCTTGTGCTAGCGAGGCAGGCGGCAGAACCGCTGACCTAAATCCCAGCCCTTTTTATTTTGGAATATTTGCATGTGCATAATAAGCTATCCTGGGGATGGGATGAAAATCTTAATGAAGAAATTCACTTCTGTTTCTTATATGCTTATATACTTAGCCTGAAGTTATTTTATACAATGTTTCAAATAATTTTGGACATAAAATAGACTTTCATGGTGTGGAATCTTCCATTATGGTGTCAGGTTGGTGCTCCAAAAATTTCATCCTTTTAAGCCAGGCACATTGGGACACAACTAATCCCAGCACTCGGGAGGCTGAGGCAGGGAGATCACTGCGAGTTTCAGGCCAGCCTGAGCTACATAGCAAGACGTTGTCTCAAGAAACCAAAACAAGGGCAAGAGGGAGGTCCAGACCTGGAGGGCCGCTTTCTGCCCTCTCAGCCCTCCTCTCTCCCCCCACCTGGCCCATCTGCTCCCCCTGCAGTGGCTGCGGGACCCGGGGCCGCGCACGGAGAAGCGGACGCTGTGTTGCGACATGGTGTGCTTTCTGTTCATCACGCCACTGGCTGCTGTCTCAGGCTGGCTCTGCCTGCGCGGGGCCCAGGACCACCTCCGGCTACACAGCCGGCTGGAGGCCGTGGGGCTGATAGCGCTGACCATCGCCCTCTTCACCATCTACGTCCTCTGGACGCTGGTAAGTGGCCTCAGGGACAGCAGTGCCTGTGGGGGACCTGGGTGGGACCTTCTGGAACCTCACCCCCTGCCTAGTGCCAGGCACACTTGGGCCCCGCGGCCACACACGGATGCTGGATCACTGTTCCTGAGTCTGTGAGCCCCAAGATAGGGGTGCGGGAGGGAGAGAGAGCACTGGGGGGGAGCAGGAGAAACTAGGAGAGAGGGATATGAGGATAGCTTGAGCCCTGGGTTTGAGGACAGCCTGGGCAACATAAGAGACCCTATTTTCGTTACTTTCTCATCGCTGAAACAAAATACCTGATAGGCACAAGTTCAAGGGGCAAAGGTTTATTTCAGCTCAGTTTGTAGGGCTTCAGTCCGGAGTGGGCTGGCCCTAAGGCAGGGCAGCATGGCAGGGGGCAACAGTCCATGTCAGGGCGGGCAGGAGGCAGCAATCCTGCCTTTCTTTCCTTTTTATTCCTTTCAGGCTAAAAGACTAAGGGGTGGGGCTTCCCATTATCCACACCCAGATCTACGCTAAACCCATCGGGGGACTGATTTAGTTCCCACACACCCTAAATCCGCATTTACATCCAAAAGCCCCAGCTAAAACTGCAGCAAGCTTGGGGGGACGGGTCATCTAGATACAAGCCTTAACAGAGCCTGTTTAAAAAAAAAAATGACTGTAATCCCAGCACTTGGGAGGCTGAGGCAGGAGGATCTCTGTGAGTTTGAGACCAGCCTGGGCTACATAGTGAGTTCCAGGTCAGTCTCAACTACACAGTGAGACCCTGTCCCAAAAAACCAAAA